AACAGGCAACCTGTGGTTTTAGCCAACTAAGACATAATAAAAGTTGAAGTAGATAATATATTAAGTATAGCAGAGCAGGGCTCAGCCGGTCCGCGTCCACATTCATCGCTCCCGCAATGTGATTGATTCGTATTGTCAGCCGGTGTCGTATGGTGGTTTCAAGTATCTCCAGCGCCAGTTCTTGCAGAAAAGTGAAGCTGTGCCGCCTGATTTCATCGCATATTTGATCGCGGTAGTATTGTCGGAGTAGATCTGGATGGACGACCCTTAGTTTTTTGGGCCATGGATTTGTAATGCAAAGAGGATGGTCTGCAGTTCCCGTACATTGATGGATTGTTCTTTTTCCTGATGGGGCCATGCTCCCGATGTTTCTACGGTGGTCGATTTGATTCCCCACCCCATATTCGACGCATCTACATATATGGTAAGATCTGGTGGTGGTTGGTCTTAATTCTCGTGAATCGGTAATCCATTCCTGGTCTTGGCTATCATCTTCCACCATTCCAACTCTTGTATCGCTTCCTAGGATATGTTGTATGGCCCTTCCCATTTCCGATATCCACGGAGACTCTTCGTCAGGTCGCGTTGGAGGTAACGTATATGAATTAAGGCCTCGCCCAATGCTGGTATGATTGCAGTGAGTTTCCCCAGAAGAGAAGCCATCCATCTGCATGATCTCGTCGCTGTCGAAACTTGTCTGATCCTTGACTGTATTTTTTCGAATTTGCGCTTTGGGACCTTGATGGTCATGTTCCACGTGTTGAAGGTGTAACCCAGGAAGTCTTGTTGGTGCGATGGCGTCAATGCACTCTTCTGCCAATTTATCATAAACCCCAGGGAGTGCACGTGTTGGATGATTTGCTGGATGTGGGAGCTGGCTGTTTTCTTGCTCTGTGCCACTACACAAACATCGTCCAAGTAGTATACCAGGCGGATCCCCTGTTTCCGTAATGGTTCTATCACAAATCGCATTAATTTTGAAAAAATTCTCAGCACTACACTGATACCAAACGGGAGCGTACGATACTGGTACACTGTGCCCTTGTTCATGAAGGATAGATATTTGCGGGAGTCTGGGTGTATCGGCACTACCAAGTAGGCATCCTTTAGGTCGATCTTCGTCAAAAAGTCACCTGGTTCGATCAATTCTGGTAGTACTGAGACTCCCTCCATTTTGAAGTATTGGCATTGGACGAATTCGTTGATGCATTTGCAATCTAAGATAGGCCGTTTCTTTGTCTCCTCTTGAATTGTGAACATGTTCGACAAGAAGTTGCGGTCTTGTGTAGGGGATCGTTCGATCACCCCTGATAACAAAAATTTTTGGACCGCTTGATCCACCGCTTCCTGATCTGATAATGGGAGTTTCAAAGGTGAGGAACGCCATGGTATCGGTGTCTTGTCCCATTGAATACGATATCCTTCCGCCACAACCCACAACTGACCATGCCCATTGGTTCGAAGTCATCTCCGTCCAATTCTGTGCAAAATGCTGGAGCCGACTGCCCAGTTTGATCCCATCTTCGGGAGTAGAATAATGGTCCGCTATCTTCTCTGTACTGGGATTCGGTGTTAATGGTTTGGGGGGTTGGGCGATGGATGGGTTGATTGGTTTGGATTCGGTTGTCGCTGATTGCCTTGGCCAAAAAAAAAGATTGTGGTTTCTTGTCGAATTGGAACAGCTCAGATAAGGGTTGCTTAGTTTCAAATTTTGTGACGATAAATAGCTGCATCGTAAAGTCCGGGATCGGACCCATAAAAATAGGAGAGTTTTGTTCTTCCATTTCTTTCATTTCGCTTGCAAGTGGTGTCCTTTTCCAGGTAAGTAAACACATACACGCTGGCTTTTGGACGTTGGATTTCGCGGAGCACTGAGTCTAGTAATCTGAGAAGGCCATTCTTTTGGGGTGGACTGGAGATGAACCAACACTGTTACCGGCATCTGCATCGTTTAAATACGGACACATGTTTGGGTTCCTTTGCCTTGTCGTCCAAAAGCAGAATTAGAAGAGAAAGTACTAACCACTTGTTTTATTTTCGTGAATCACGACTTCCACAATGCCAATGTCTTGATCGCAAACGTTCCATGTTGCTCCTACCCGGTAAAATGTGCGAGGACTACCATTCCGTTGGTGAATGCATGTGCACAAACTGCCCATGGATGTTGACCAAAGGGTCGTTTGTGACGGGCGGCTTCCTCGCAGTGGGAGAACCACGATGGTCTCCACTTTTTAATGACATCAAATAAATACTACTTACTCGATTTCGTATGCCTCTGTCTCCAATTGCTCTTCTGAAGTTGCTAAAATAATGGGGTATTCGATATGTTCGCAATCATGGACTGTGTATGCTATGACAAATATGCAGCTTTTCGAATCTTGAGGGTCATGGTAATCCTGTATCCTTCCTCTTATCTCTCTGACGGCGTGCTGTCACCCTCTTCTCATCCTCCACTCTGTAATATTTACCCATGTGCACTTTGGAATCATTCTTCCCTACCTCCCCCAAAATGACAATTTGTTTCAATAAACCCAATATGCCATGACAGTTGTGATTGCACTAAGAATAGTAGTGCGACCAACACAACGCACACTTCAGGGCGTACTCTTCACCACACTCTTATTTTGGAACAGACTCACTGGTGGAACACTCAAATCTGAAGCTGATGACGCTTATTTTTTTAGCTCAACTCTGGATGGCGCCCTCAAGTCACGTATTAACGACATCACTATACCATAATGTTGATCCCATTGTTGATGTTCGACGACACCTCTCGTCTTCAGTTCCTGCTCGGTTGCCTCAACGTTCTTTGCACACCTGCGATACTCGACTCCTTTTTTTTGTGTTTTTGCTTGTTATCATAAATCGTTCAAGGAAACTGAACGTCATATCATAATGACTCTCCGTTGCGACAGCTATCTAAACATTTATGAGAATGAGAAACAAATCCTTCAAAATCACTCAATTCCAAACACTTTGATGCCTCGCTGATTCGTGTCATCAACGTCTCGCTTTCCAAGAACCTGTTGCGTTTAACTTTACTCTTGAGAACGGACCAAAACTGTTCAATAGGATTGAGTTCAGGCGAGTATGATGGAAGATAAGCACATCGATATCCTCTAGACTCAATATACCGAGAAATATCTTCGGCTTTATGAATAGGAGCATTATCCATGACCAAATAATGACCTTTCATGTGCTGGTACTTATCCATCTCATCCATTGTAGCCTTGAGAAAACTAAGATAATGACCAGTGACAGTTCCTCGGCTAATAATTTCAGAAGCATTTGTTCGCTTTCGTTTTCTGGTCGAAACCTGTGGAAGTCTTAAGCTGCATATAATCAGACCAGATGCAGAGATTGCACCCAGGATAGTAGTCGTTTTTGCTCTTGTTTTTGGGACAGTTACCACAGCAGTAGATCCTATTTTTGACCACGCCATACTACGCTTCAAATTAATATGGAAGGCAAACTCATCAAGAAAAACACAATTTTTTCTAAAATCCATGTCTGTCTCATCCCATTTGCGTATCCAGTCAAACCGCTCTTGGATCTTGGCTTCACTGTTCCTATCAACGGGTTGAAATTTGGCTTTTTTCAAAGATAAGTTGCATGCATTCTTCATAAACCGATAAAGTGTTGTCTTGGACACTTGGATCCCTTCAAATCTTTGACGTAATTCTTCCATCAATTGCTCAAGAACTATTGACGGATTCTCATCAACCCATTCTAAAATAATTCTCTTATGCTCATCGTTGAGAATGCGAGGACGACCAGAGCTTTTACCCTTTTTAAATATGCCGTCAAGATTTTTTTCATACTGCAGCGCCCACCTTTGCGCCGAGCGAACACGAATTCCCAACTGCTTTGCAGCAGCTGATGCACTCAAAACCTTCTCGAACATCAGTTTGAAGAATCTTTGTCCTGATCCGTATAGACTGTGTACTCTCGTTTTGTAACTGATTCTTTCATATGAACGTCCTTACTCTGTATTTCGTCCACATGCACAACAACAGGCTCATGGTTGTGCACACGATGAAGAGTGTGCAAATAATCGGTGTGAGAACTGATTGTTTGAAGGGTGTACATTTCTTCATCAACAACATAATCCATGGGCTCAAGGCAGCCATGCTCATCAACAACATGGCCCTGTCCACCTTCATAAAAAAATTGACCGTTCATAATTTGTAGTATGGTGAAAGAGAAAAGAGGTTTGACCTCAACGAGGCGTTGTGCTTTTATAGTGATGGCTTTGCCAAACTTTTTTGTGCAACAACTTTTTTCTCTGTGAAACGACTTTCAATTTGTTATCATCCGAATTGATTACTGGCCAAAACACGACTTCTATTTTTGTCAACCTCTGACTTCCTTTTCCGTGGCACACGACTTTGATTTCGAAAAAGAGTGTAATAAAAACCGAACGATGCCTAACGCCAGAAAAAAGAAAGCAGCAAAAAACGAAGACTTTAAGGTGTGCGATTTTACATAACGTCTCAACTTTGATCTCGGTTTTTTAAAATCAGATACATGCTTATAACAGCATTTGTTAACATTGATCCTTTGGAAAATAAATGCATATAGAAAAAGAAGTTGAAAATTGGCAAAAAGAAGGCTTTGCCTGACAACTACACCGACACTTCATTCCATTCGAAAAGTAATATGATTTCTACATAGAGCACTCGATCTCAAATCCAGCGTACAAGTATATGCTCATCGCTGTTTTGAAAATTAGGCATCTCGCTCCCAAATCAAAGCATTACCGAGGATAAAACGAAGCAAGTGACTACACGTAGAAACCTGACCCTTACCGATCTAATAATCCAGTTAAAGCATTACAATTCCGGTGTACGCAAGGGTAAGTTACCGGATAAGTTTTCTCAAAATTTTGTTCTAGGAGCTTGGGAAAGTATAGGAAGATTGGAGGGAAGAAGAGGCATAGTCTTTAATTTTTCTATACTTATTCAATAACAACCGGGTGTCATTTTATAAAAAAAAACCAAGATGCTATGCTTGGATTACAAGAGCTTTGTGCAACGCATCCAGAAACGCTCACGAGTTCACTTGGTACGGTCGTCAATGGTATTTTAAAATTATTCGTGGATGATGTAAGTTTTTCCGAATCATGTTGATAATTGGATCAAAGTAACAGTAAAAGAATGCTAACAAGATTTCATTCAGGATCGTGAAGTACGCAAAGCGTTGCTAGCGTTTCTTCAAGAAGCTATGCCAACCGTTGACAAGGTGAACCTGGCACCATTTCTTCCATTGCTCGTTATGTACACATGCTCCGCCATGTCCCATATTTTTGAAGATGTGCGATTGGATGCTGTCAAACTGATGGATCTATGGGTTGACCTTGCTTCAGAGACAGTCGTGGATAAATTTTGGAACAAGATTGTGGGTATCTACACCAGTTTATTGATGGTCAATGCGGTCGGCTCAATGTCTGCTTCTATGTCCAACAGCAATGCAGGTGGAACAAAGATTACCAATGTGGGATCAGCCAAAGCTGCTGCTGCGAAATCACATTTGCATATTCACAAGGTAAAAGCTAGAAGGGATGGGGGGATGATAGCTATTTAACCTCCATTGTTTCTTCTGCTATTAAAACCATTATTATCGTACAATCATGCGCTAAACTATGTCTTCTCCTTTAGAGCAAATTAGAACTCTTGGGTAGTCTCGCAAAGTTTTTAGAATCAGGTCTTTCAAGAAATCGCCGCGAACAGTAAGTCTCATATATTATGTATATTCTTAAATCTAGTAAGTTACGTAATTGGTATTGATCGTCAACTTTCCTACGTTCAAGTATGTGGTTCTTGTTAGGCTCGCTGGACAACAGACGTGCAAAGGACAGTTTTAGAAAGCAGTTGGCTCGATTAAAATCACAACGAGACTCCAATGTAATACGCTATGATCCATCATCAAAGATACCAGTGAGTACAATAATTTTGATAAGCTTTAAAGATGATTTTATATGCTAAATTAATTGCTCTAAACCAATTATAAGGTATCTTGTTTTTTAACACATCCTGCAACAGGCTCGATCATCCCGCATTTGTCACATACCGATTTGCCAAGCTTAAACTTGTTCGAATCATCGGGTCCAAACAGCCAAGGTTTAAGCGATATTTCGACGAGGTCGGATATATCAAAAGCTAATAGCGCAGCAAGCGGCAAATTGGATAGTTTTGATGTTCGGGTATGTGTATTGTTATTGGGTGGATCCTAAAGATGGAAAAATAGTGAATAGCCAAAGAAAATTGCTCACACCTTTTCTTTTCGAATTACCGTATATCTATTAGACACTTATTGAGACATTTCAACCGGTGTTGGTGAGCTCATGGCTTGAGACTGCGCCTTCCGTCTTCGCTACAACAAATTCAATTGCCCTTACACCTGCACTTCAATTATTGAACGTCGTTTTGAAATTGACACTAGTACTTTGGCGTGCGTTAGTTAGTGGCGACGAAATCAACAAAGTGAATCTAGCATGGCTCGAAAAACACTGTTATCAGCTATTAAAGCATTTTGCCGTCTACTTTCCATACGGCGCAGATGCTCTTGGCGATGGTGGTGCAAAGGTAATGGCAGTAAATAGATGATGTATCCGTGCAAGGGAAGACAAATGAAAGAAACCATGTTTTTTAGCATAATCTGGATCAGTAACTCATGGATTGTATATAGGCCGAGGCTGTATTACGAGAGATGAATATTGCAACTTGCGAATTAACTTCGTTGCTTCTGCTTGCTAAAACAGCGCATATCCAATCTTCAGCCGGACAAAAGCGACGACGGGAGGAAATGGAAGGTGTAAACGCTGAATGGACAGAAAAGATTGTAGACTATGTCCTTGGTGTATTAGGAGCTCAGGTACATACACTTAAGTCTGATATCAAAAAGAAAAATTGACAGCTATAACTGACGAGGGTTCATTAAATACTGCTAGGATATAAACAATGGAAAAATGACAACAATGTCTGCCAATTTCAAAGAATCTGATCTGAATACTTTGCTACCAGCTGTATGGGGTTTCATGAACAGTCTAGATTCCGAGTACCAATTTGAAATTTTTAAGGTATAATTTTTCGTTGCGGATGTTGTGGATGGGTGCCTTCATATATATTGTCGTCCAAAAGTATCCCACTGTCGTTTATAACCCTTAACTTAACCTGTTCCCTTCTTCTTTAATACGTTAGACATTCGTTAATTATTATCACCGATGCAATGCCAATTCAAGCTTGAAACGGGTAGCTCTGGAGTTTCTGAGCAGCGTTTATCTGGTATGCATAAATATTATATCATTTTGTGCACGATCAACAGCGCTCAATAAGCCCAATGTTAACTTTATTTATCTTCGAATGGTAGATTCAATCAAGTCCAAGCTATAATGGGCGTTTCAATCTCGATGGCTCAGAATACGCCAAACTTGTTCAAGACTGGCTTCGTACTCTGCCAAAGACTTTATGGCAGCTAAAGGCCAATCATATTGGGACGAGTCGCGTGAGTATAACATCCACTAGGAATTGACTCAAAATGTATACTTTTCTTGATTTACTAATCATTTATTGCCGAATCATAGCTTATTCTCAACATCATGTGCGAGATTGCCAAACGGGATACAAAGGATATCTTTGATAAAGAGGTAAACTAGTGTAAAATTTAGGATTTTACTTGATGATTAACGAATACTGTGTAATTTTGTCTCTCTCTAGGCGCTGCTAGCGACGGAATTGGCTATGGTTCCCTTCTTCCACGTCAATCTCGCGACTAAAGGTAATTCATGTTCAAAAAACTTTAATCATTTATCAGTCTTAAGCTCACCATATAAAAATCCAAAACAAACCTAGGATCATTGTTTGGGCCGTTTATCAGTCTACCGAAGGACATTCAGGATCGAGCACTTGAATTTTTGTACTACGTGAATAGTGGGTCAGAAAGGGTAGCAAAAGCAGTAAACGAGTGTCAGGCTCGTCTGGAAACTCCTGTTTCCGCATAAAACTCATAATATTTTTTCTTTCCCTTTTTTACATATTCGATCGCACATCAAACACATTTCATTTTTTCTTACACGATTCTGGTTAAAAAAATCACATATTGCATCCTTCATAATACAATAAACTTTATTCTTGTCCATGCGTACTACACTTTGTATGCTGAAAATATAGAATAACAAGCTTGTGTTATGTGTAGTAGTGCTGATAACGTTTTAAAAAAACAGTCATCTATGGCAGCTGAGACTTACAAAGAATACATATTGCTCACAATGACACCATAGCACGCAACGGATATATCTCGAATGCTGACCCGCGAGAAAAGCCTCCACGGCAACAACATTAGCTGGCTGAAAACCCTTTGCTGCCTTCGTCCAGTGGTTATAAAGCGCGTATGTTTTCTAGTATGTCAGGCCTCAAAAAGTGCATGCTGTTAGCCTTAAGTAGACCATCGTCCACCAGAATCCATTGATAGTGATGTTGAAACACGAATAGCAGCGAGAAGGAGACGAAAAAGATACAATGCCCATGCGATGACCTGGACACCTCCGTGACGCCCAAATGTGATCAAGTTTTTGAATTTCAAGTTATGGCCATTTGGAGTAACAGTAAGTACCAATTTGGTGATGCAAAAAGGTGCAATTTATCAAGTTATCAGATCACCAAATTAACGCCAGATAAACAACAGAAAATGATTTAGTTTAAATAGCATGATGATTCCGCAAGTATCCATATGCGCCAAATTTTCTTATATAAAAAGCATGGCTTTTATGTTGATGGTGACCTTCACGAGATCCGTAAGTTAGAACATCCTAGTTATAGCACAGAATCTCACTGCTAAGATTAGTTGTATAGGACATTTTCGGAACAGTTAGTCAGTTACTTTAAGCTTTTACGAACTTTGAAGAGCTACGCCGTATAATGGTTGGCGAATGCATGGATCTAATTGTACAGGGTGAAGGGTTAGTTTCTGTGCATCATTCTGCTACTGACAATGGCTTTTTTTGCTTCTGATTTAGGATCTCCGCCAGCAAGACAGGACGCAAGCTATGACAGAAAATAAATTGGCTACATACAGCGAGTTTGGTGGATATCTTAATCGAGATACTTCTCTGCGATTGAGCCCAAGAATCCATGGTAACGCTTGAAATCATTGACGCCAGGCAGCTTCTGCTAACACCAATTGAACATGCTCGGGTTAAGATGTGCTAAATAATGATTTAACACCACAAATATGCTCCTAATCTAATCAACATACGAATACTATAGCGTCTGCTTAGTACTCGGTAAATGTAGTACCCATCATATGCCAATAATTGAGATGCATTCAATGACATATAATGCGGAGTATAAGTTTATCCGGATGCATGAATAAGTACTAGCGTCAGGAGCTCTGTTTCCACTGGTGCGGATATGCGGTCGCCTGAAAATCAGATAAAAAGGAGGCTACAGCGATCGCGGTACTTCGCCTCCGGAGAAGAAGTAGCATGAAGGAAAGGGGCGGAAGGATGACTCAGAAATTTCGAAATGATTATGCTTTCCACCGATTTTGAGAAGTAATTCTTCCGTGTCTGGTTATATATAAATAAGTAAATTCTTTTTCTGTAGTTGACCTTTTCTTCCAGGCTTGAAATTATTTTCGCTATTATTTAATCAAGAATGGCACCACTTGAAATCATTGGAGCTGGTTATGGTCGTACCGGCACCGAGAGCTTGCGCATTGCATTGAATATGCTAGGGTAAGGAATCACGTAGTATATCATAAACTTTGTATGTCATGATGTAGAAAGTGATATTGACACCAGGAGTATCAGGTTCCACACGCACCATATGACCGAAATGTTTGAGCGAGATGGCCATCCTGAAGTTTTTCAAGAGGCCTACGAGCATCCTGATCATGAAATTGATTGGGATATGTTGTATGAGGGATTCGATGCGGCAGTAGACTGGTTTGTAACCACATAGAATCTTTGTACTTTACGGTATAGAAGTATGTGTGATGGCGAGCTGATGAACTTACCCGTATATATTATTTCTCATTAGGCCTACTGCAGAGTTCTTGGCCCCGCTCTTGAAGAAATATCCTAATGCCAAAGTGCTTCTTACCGAACGTGATTTTGACAGCTGGTATACCTCTGTTGCTAATACCTTACATCCAATGGCACACAATGTCATGGCTCCATCCGAATCAGCGTATATGAGGTAAGTCTCGACGACTCCAACTTTTCCTTTTACGCATATGGAGGGACGGGTGTTCGATGATGAGAGAGTATATGGTCCGAGTGGTGGTTGTATTCTAGTAACCGTACAGCAGCAGCCCGACAAGTTGCTTCAACGCATAATGCACATATAGTGTAGCTCCTCTCGCAAATTATGGTACCTGCACGAGCAATATAGTAACTAATCACTGTATAATATCTAGACGTATTTTCTCGATGGTTTCTGTTATTGCCATGGGCGGAGATATCGTTGATCCAAAACGATTCTCGGACAAGGAGGCAATCAGAGCCAAGTTTGAAGAACATTACAACTGGGTGAAAAGGACCGTTCCCGAGGACCGCCTTTTGGTTCTTCAGCTTGGCGAGGGTTGGGATCGTTTGTGCAAATTTCTTGGTAAACCAGTGCCCGACGTGCCTTACCCGCGTACCAACTCTACAAAAGAAGTTAATTCCAGATCTCAACAAGTTAATGCAAGAATGGAGAAGACAGGAATGAATTAAGGATAATATAGTAGCTTACCTGTGTACCTAATATTTTGGGGAAAATACAATCCTTTGTAAACACTCACACGTTTTTCTACGCGTCGCAATAACAAAAGTTTTCGGGTCGCAAACGCGTTATCTTTCTTCCCCCCCCCCTTTTTTTTTCTTTCTTTCTTCCCTGCCCTCCAGACAGTCTCGTCTTTATAGCAACATGCTCATTTCACCACCAATTCATTCAGACGGTGCCAAAGGCATAGCAATGGCACAAGGGGCTGGCTTTGAAGTTTATTCATTCAAAAAAAGTGGAGATTTCGAAGGGCATAAATGGTACCGTATTTTAGGCAAAGGGCTTGCTCGCGAAAGACAAGGTAAAATAAATGACACTGTCAAACAGGAATACTGATACTGGGGTTGCTGTGGCACTCCTTTCTGACGAAATGGTCCAGCATTAACTCCTCGCTCAACTTTCCGTTTCAATTCATCGCTGTAGACGCAATCTTGTGTGGGCTGCCGCGTGGGTATGCTTTGGGAGGTAGAAAGGATAGTAGGCGTAATGACAAATTTATCTTTGGCAAGTGAAAGTCTGTGCGGGGTGACCTGTCAAGTTTATGTGGGCTTGATGGTGCACAAAGATAGATCCTTCTCACTTTTAAATTTTTTATAAATTAATATAGGACACCCATCAAAAAGGGCATACCGTTCAGCGAGTAAGTTTTGTACTTTATTTTCGTATGAGGAAGGGAGTCACCCGAGACTAACGCATTGAAATAGGAGAATTTATTCCACATCTCCAACATCTCCAATCGCTCGATCGCAAACATAAATCCACTGAATCCGCCAATTGCGAATGCCATCTCTGTAAAAGTGTCAGCAACAACAGCAGAAGAAGTAGTGACATATCATCTTGTGCCTCATCCTCTACAGCTCGACGACTACCACCGCTTAAAATGAAAACAGGAACTGAGACACAACGGCGACAAACATCAACGACATCCGCATCATCATCTAACTCTTCTTCAACAACAACAGCACCGAGTAAAAAGAGGACGTTGTCAAGCATGACCGGTATGAAAGAAAACAACAACAGCGAAACCAAAGAAGAAAAAGAGCCTAAAAAGAAGCGGCAACTATCCAGGCGCAAAAAGATAGTCAAGACGAAAAAAATGGCAGGGCAAGAATTGCGCGAGGTGGCGTACGTGTGGATAGAAACACCACCAAGCTTACAAGACTTGCCTATACCCGACTATATTGACATTCCTGACTTGGTTTTGCCAAGTAACCACTGTTTACTTTGATCATCGTACATACATCTTTCTTGCTTCAGCATCAATCATCCTGAGGCCTTTCATCTTCGTGACGTGATTGAACGTCGCGAATTATCTGTTGATACATTTCCTTTGGATATTCACTGCCCCGTATTTGAAACGCATAACATGCTATAGAGTACATGCAAATATGCCATAATTCATCATTATCATCACCGTCTATCAAGATTCCTCTCCTCTTTCAACACATGCTTAAAAAAGTAACTTGCCTCGTTCCACCTTGGATATACTTGAACGAAGGGCACCCATTTTCTTGCCTAACTGCGGCAATGATGAACCTGCCAAAATCTCGCAGTCTATACATACACCATGCGCATTAATATCTAGCGCTAGTAAAATTTTATTCGAGTTTCCTGTTTACCTGTGCTGATTTGACGTAAAAATCGACATATCTGCAATGCTTGATCGTAATTACCGTTCGTGATAATGTTAATCGCATATCGCATCAATTCACCCGTGAAGTCTGCTATTCCTAATACATAATCCTCGGCGCGAACGTACAACCACTGTGTTTTCTTTTCTGTTAGCCTTTGATAACGACATGCTTGCTATAATTACAGATCCATTCATCTCTCCGTACCTGATCGCCATCTTCGTCTTGAAAAAGTTTGTCGATTTCCTCTTTTTTAATCATAGTCGTGTGCTCTAGATAATGTAAGAACGCGACACCTTCAATCTATATAGTGGAAATTTTGCATAAAAATTACATATTGCGTTGTCATTGATTGGATATGATCCCCTCTCCAACAAACAAACGTCGATCACCAGTAATGAGGTTCCTTACGAATTCTTCAAATCCACCCGAGAAACTGCGTGCGTATCTGTAATAGTTGGTTCCTGCTACCTCTGGTGCGAGTTGTCGAAAGAGTCCCATGATTTCTTCTTGTTTTAATTTTGCTTCTTTATAGTTGCCACCTTTTTGTGCCGCACTATAGTTCATTTCCATATTGTTTTACATAATCCACGCAAGTCAGCCGGTCAATCGATAATTTGTTATTATGCAATGTATAACGAATCGCGTCTTTGTCGTTTGTCGACTGAATGACATACCGATGCAATGCAAAGACCATTTTCTTGCTTTGTGCTGTAATATCTCTATATAAAGGATAACTAGAATTAGCCATAAGCTCGGGCTATCATTAGTAGCAGCATTGCATACCATACCTTGACACTTTGATCACGCGTTCGCGTCGATCGTGCTACCATGTACCCCATTCAAAAAGTTTGAAGCGTAAGAGTGATAGAGCAGTCGTGTCAGTGAAGTGCAAGTTAAATCACTCTACGCGTCAATAAAGCGTTCAAAACACATTACGTGCGCATCGAGTATGTTGCGTGCTTCTGTGAAGAATGGGATAATGTCCATATTTTGAGCGTGTGGTCGAGAAAAAAAAAGTGTATGTGGGTGCACCAGAAAAGGAAGAGTTCAGAAATTGGGAAGCAGCCCTCTTCTACTCGGTTTGCAACTTTGCTCTCTCACTCCTTATCTCAAGAACAGAAGCAAGAAATATGGTAAGCTTAATCTTCCATAGTGGTCGTGAATTGCTCAAACAAAACTTTCTAATTGCTGCCATTCTGCAAAAACTATTTAGGCACCTGTTGCCCTGATTCTGGTCGACATTCAGAACGATTTTATTGAGGGCGGATCGCTCGCTGTACCTGAGGGCTCAAAGATAATACCTGCAGTTCACAAACTTATGGATAAGGCAAAGCTGATTATAGCTACACAAGTATGTATTGTAAATTTTACCTGTATGTGTAGACGTTATACCAGCTTACTGAGGGGAAAGGATAATGCACTTACCCCTCTTTTGCTGCTTGCATTATCGTTGGCTCTAGGACTGGCATCCTGCTGATCACGTTAGCTTTGCAGTAAATCATACGAACAAGCAGCCTTTTGAGGAGATTACGATACAGTATGATGATGGCCGTGATACAAAGCAAGTTTTATGGCCTGCACATTGTGTGGTATGATACAACGAAAAACGCGTACACCTCTTCATACTTGGGGCTTGATTGAATCATCCGATTTAACCTTGCATGAATTTCTAGCAAAATAGCCATGGTGCAAAACTTTTGGAAAGTCTCCCAAGGCAGTCTATACAGCACATTGTGCAAAAGGTAAAATCTGCTCTGAATGATACATTATTTCACATACGCGTATGTTTTGTTAATGTGGTGGAGTAGGGCATGAATACAAAAGTGGACTCATACAGTGGTTTTGCTGATAACGATTACCAAGAAATCACATCACTCGCAAAGATCCTTTATCAGAACTTTGTGGACACAGTGATTGTGGTTGGCTTAGCAGCCGACTATTGCGTGAAAATGACCTGCTTGGACGCTGTCAAGTTTGGTTTCAAAACAGTACTTGTTAAAGAAGGTACACGCGCTGTCGCTCCAGATCAACTTGATGCTACCATGGAATACTTGCATTCCAAAGGCGTTGAAGTCGTCGACGTGGATCATGCAGTAAAAACATATTTGCAACAGTAGCCGTCTTGTTGTATCAGCAGTGCCATGTTAGACTGTTGTATGGATTTTTTATTACCACGTCAATATGGTCAGTGTGCGTGAATTTTATTTTAGCTATGTACAATCGTGGTATTGTTTTGTTATGTTGTTTCTTCTTTTCCTTCCATGTCATCATCGTCCGTTTCTTTTTCTTTTTGCTGCTCTTCTTGCTGTCCCTCTTCTTGCTGTTTCTGTGCACTATCAGCATATCTTTTAACAGCAGCATGCTCAAGTTGGGCTTGCCACTCTAGTCTCTCCATCTAAACAAATCGACATGATGAGCAGGAAATTTAAACACAAAGCGTCTCGAAACTAAAACATTTGTTGCTTTACCTCTAAATTCTCAAGCTTCTCCTTGAGTTCTTGGATGGTTTGGCTCATTTGACTGATCTGCTTCTTATGGGCCCCCCTTTCAGACTATGTTTTTGTTTCGAGTAAGGGTTAGTTTATTTCTTTTTTTAAAAGCATAACTGCTACCATTTACATACCTTATTCACGCCAGGAGCTCGCGTCTTCTGTTGGCTTGCTTCCTTCTTGGTACGCTCCTCCAGCTGAGATGTGATTTGCTCCTTTTCATCTTTGAGCTCACTTTGTGTCCGTTGTATTAGTTCACTTTTCTTCTTCTTTGACAAACGGCTACCAATGTCTCTACGTCTCCTTCTTTATTATTTACCTTTGCACTTTTGATAGACGCTGGTTCTCTGCCTGCAAACTACCGACCAGTTCTTCCATGCTCCACCATTGCGATAGCAATCCCTTGATATATCCTTTATGCTCTTCCAAGTGGGCAGAATCCTCTTCCCTACATTATTGATAATGTTGCTTAGTAAACTTATGTCGATAAAGGATGGTTACATATCATGACTTACCAAAGAAGCATTTGCTTTGTGAGCTGCATGACGCGGTGTTCGTTTTCAGCTGCTTTTTCCAAAAAAGGCTGTCGAGTTCTGAGCTCGCTTTCCACTTCAAACACGCGCCGCTGTGCTTCTAGCAGTTGAGCATGTTGTTCCGCAGCCGTTCGCTCTTGTTCTGCCAACTTTTGCTTTGCCTCTTCCATATCCGCTTGCCATTTCTTGCGTGCCTCTCGATAACTGCGCAATTTGCCTTGTTGCTCATCCTCCCATTTGATATGCTTTTGCTTTGTTAACGCAGATTCGGCTTTCAGTTTCGTTAAGGCATTTGTAGCATCCTTGAGTTGAGCGCGCAGCATACGGGTTGTATTGTACTTGAAGACAAATACTAATATGTCAGTTTTTTCGTTTCATGAAAGCCGCCCATTCCTATCAACACAACAAAAAAAAATAGGAAGACACCTAGTAATTACCGTTCGCTGTCGTTCAGCTTCCACAGAGCTATCGACGACATGCTCTCGATGCAAACGGCCCATATGCTGGAGATGCTGCTGCTTGACAAACAATTCAAAGTTCAGTTCGTTGCGAAGCAACAGGACTTCACGCTTGAGAGCAGCGATAAGCAATTTTGTTTCAGGGGACATGGCGAGCGAGGGAGTCGGACTTGCAGTGGTATCTGGTAGATGTGAGGCGTGCGCAATGGATGTCGCTGTAGTTGATATAGGGTCGGGTAACAATGGAGAAACTGACGCGGATGAAGATGGTGACGAAAAACGTTCGAGATCAGCGTCCTTAGAAAGAGAGATAAAAATGGAGTCAGCCAAAGTACTAGATTGGGACTATAACATAAGATGCCAGTGGTAGTGATAGAAACTATCAATCACACTGTTATTTAGTTCTACTAACCCAAACATCTTCACCGATTAAAACTTCAGCACCGCCTTTTAGTGCGCGATGCATATCAAGAATACTGTTGACAGCCTTGCCCGACTGTTTACGTTCTGGAGTGGTATCGGCAGTAGGAACTGCAAATGTACCGGGAGTGGTAGTGGTATCTTGTCGCTGTTGTTGGTGATGTTGCTCCTCCGCGGTGAATGCGGTAGATGGCGAGGATGATGGGCGCGGGACCTGCCCAGTATGTGCCCATATTTCCTCGTCCAAAAGATCAGGTTGGTGACCGCTCCGATGTTGCTTGTTGTCAGAGCTAAATGCCACTCGAGAAGCAGCGTTTGTCAGGTCCAAACTCATGATTTGAGCAATCACATCAGGAGGCTCCATCTTCATCCAGCGTGATCTATCTGTCAACTCGGTTGCGATATCCATGGTAACAAGGTTGGGATGGAGCATATGTCGTGATACTTGGGTCTATTGATGATAATAAACTTTCCGTTTTAGCAAAATCACGCATTATACAGGAAATAACTTTATGGTTTATGTGCCGTGTATTGTACTTACCAAAGTGCGAGACCTGAACGTCTCTTCATCGAATTCTTCAGGCATATGGAAATCGTTCTCGACAAAATAAGAGTAAGGAGCATGGAGAAACTTGACAAAATTGCACGGGTATAAGCCATACAATGATGTAAAGAAAGGACCAGTCAAAGGATTGGAAGGAGGTGCCGATAGTTTTGAAAAGGTATAATCTGCCATTTTAACAGTAGATCTTGAGGTTGAGTACAGCTCCTTTCAACATCTTTCGAAGTACTTGGAGGAATCAGGTACATTACCTGCACAATCCCATCCGTCAGCTGCCTTTCGACTTTTCTCTGTGGGTGTTGCTGAACTATCATCGCCGTCATCGTCCTGAGATGATGATGCAGAAGGCGGTATGATGCTTTGCTTTTGACGTATATCGCGCAGCTGATCCCAACAAAGAGCACGTGCAAAGATGTAGAAAAGCTGAGGCAAATGCGGGGGTAATGACGTGCATATCCGTGGCAATAACATGATTAAGTTGGTCACTGACATTGCAATCAGTGTCGTCGAGTTATCGTACTATGATTATTAATTTGCCAGTAGAACAACGATGAGCAAGCATCCTGCGATGATAAAAGAAGTTCTTTAGTCGTGTATACATACCATCATGGATTTTAGCATTGATGTAAACAGTTCCGTCTCGAGCACCTCGTGCAAATGTGTTCGCTAAGATAATGCGTATATACACTTTAGCATTCTCATCTTCTTTGCTGTAGTGACATACAAGCATGTGGCATTTACCTTTCGCAGCAAAAATTCGCTCAGCAGATAAACTATTTGTAACCGGTGCTTGCTTTGCAAGAAATACTCGTTCAAGAGCTCAAAAAACTGCTTGGTCTCTGCTGCACCAAAGCTGAGCAGGATCGCCACCAAGGATTTCGACCATTCATCCTGTTCCAAATCAAGTAGGGCCTGGTGCTGCAGTCTGAGGCGGGTCGTCTCATCCTGCTCATAAGGCTTGTCCAAGACTTCCAAACTATCTTCTTCACGCTTATGATAATTCTCGGACCAGCCCAGATATTCGTCGACAATCATCTTGCAATACTTGCTGTTGTTGTCTTCCAAGACGAGACAGTCCGAGACAATGGCGCAAGCTTCTCGCCTGACCTTGTCTGTATACGACGCAGTACCCAGTACAGGCTTTAGTACAGGTTCCCACCAGTCGCTGAAAACACGATCGGGACCCAGCACGGGAGCTAGTTTGCGTACAAATAGCAAGATCAAGTAATGTTGATTGTGGATCTGCAACGCTTCGTCGCTACACGACACAACGCCGACAATGCGTGGTGTCAAGACAATGTTGTTACATAGCTGGAATAGTTCGTTTGATAATCGATCATTCGCTTCATTCGTCGTTCCGGCTGTGTGGCCTGACGCTGCCGCGGCAGAGGTGCTGTTAGTGTTGATCGCATCCACGTTGCCGTGTTCGTCGAGAAATGCGTCAATGGCGTCGAGTGTGCTTTGGCCGTCCGTGTCCGCTGTTGCATTGCGAATGGTTTGGCTCACGGAACGTTGAATGTCACGGAGCGTCACCATTCTTTTCGTTCCTTGTCTTGTTTAAATTATCTCGCAAGATAGAAACTGCTTTCTTCTGGGATTGTTGTTAGAATGGGTGATATATGCGTGTGTATAGAGTGTGTATATATGGACAAGGTCCGGAGAAAGAGTAGCTTAAAAGTGTAAAATGCCTCGCGATCCGGTTTTTTCTGCTGCATACAAAAATCTCGAGATTCTAAATTAGGTCTTCACCGATGACCCGAGGCTTTGCAGATGTCTCGTGATTTTATACATAGCAATAATAGCCTGCAATCAACCTGCTATACTTGACCGGGCAACATAGAGTGAGACATTAGCTATTAATGGCAGCACTAGTACAGACAAGTGGAAGTTATGAAGAGATGATATTTGCTCTCAAAACAACTAATAATGAGATGCGTTTTGATCTTTATTAAAAAGCACGAGCTACCAAAGAAGTACATTTCATTACTGCATATCGAGCTACGATAAAATAAAACAACGGATTAAAAAAAGGAAGGACGCCAATCAGAAAGTGACTAAGTAGAATGATGGAGAATATTACAAAGTGTAGTAGGGATATAATTTATACATCATAGAAACAAAAAAGAGTAGAGGGAAAAGAAGGTGCCCACAAACCTCATCATTCAGAATACCTTCAATGATGCGGTGGTGGAGTGGATGCAAGTTGGGGAGGAGTATTGATGGGTGATGTAAACCTTTGACGGTTTGCAAACATGGGTGTCATCATTGATGTTCGTGAGCCAGCAGGACCAGCAGTATTGGCCATTTGAGGAACGACAGGTGCTGGCAACGGATCATGCGGTGTGATCAGTGTTAATCTGTTGCGGGGCAAAATCTTCTGGCCCGTACGTTCAGCTTCCCAGTCCTCCCATTTCTTCATCACCAGACGAGAAGAGTCGAATTTGCCTTCTGGATCCATATGGCCCTTGTCTTTCTTTTCGCCCGCCACTTTACGCGTGGCACCCCAAGAAAAGTCGTCAAAGTGCCAGTATGAGTAGATGGGTAGCACAAAGTTCCAGATTGGTAAAGCAAGAAGGTATACTAAAAGAATAAGAGAAGCGAGTACATAGTAATCATTTGTTAGTCGTATTGTTTTGCGATTATTGCGACTTCTATGTTTGAGGATAGAGACAAATAAACTTACTACACATCCATCCGATGTACACGAGCTTAAAGGTAGTAATGGCAATCAACACAGCTGGTAGACCAAGAATAGCTACCAGGAGAGCCAGCGATTGCCATTGTGGATTGCTTGAAATGGCTGTATTGACAATCAGATAAACTGTCAAGCAGATAGCAGCAGGGAGCACCAAAGTACCGATCAGATCAACAAACACTGAAAACTGCATGGACAAACAAGCAATGCCACAGAGATCGGATACCAGGACAAGCTCCATCAAGTTGTGTACTGTTGAGTTGATCCATCGTCTGCGTTGAGAAAGTAACACCTTGAACGACTCGGGAACAATCGTTTTGCATTTGGCCTGAGGGACATACATCATTTGTCGTCGAGGAAAGGTACGTAACATCAGTGTGGATAAGAACCGGTCTTCGCCAAGCAAAAGCAAGTTTTTTGCGTGCAAGGTTGTCACAATGTTTTGGTTGTATTCCAGAATAATATCCGGATTCGCCAAAATGGGGACCCATGCACCGTTCTTGGGTGCTTTGATACGGTACATGCTGAAACAGCCAGGTAAGCAGGTAACGATACCAAACAATGATTCAAAAGCTTTGGCATAGTTGTGCGATATGTAGTATTCGAACACTTGAATTGCCGAAACCCCTATGCCGATGGAATACCACCAAACAAGAACATTTTTTTAGTATATGTGAGATTGGGTATGAGTTAGCAGCAGTGACTGTATTGCTTCCACTTACAGGATGCTCGCTTGTTGGCAATACGTGTTTCGCCACAGAGACCCATGATCGTGATGTCATTTGCCATAGCAGCCACCATGTACGTTATGGCATCCGGTAGAACTTTAGTATCGGCATCCACCTAGAAAAGCAATATTTCACCATACAAGAACGGTTCAGGTTTAGCGTCAAAAATTAGAAAATAATCGGCCATATCATTTTCCCGAGCAGGCATGAAGGACTATCATTACCATGAGAACCAGTTCAAACTTGTCGGGCGTAACACCTCGCATCAACCATGTCATCTTCCAAAAGATTTCATAGTCGAGCTCAGACAAACGGTCGTTGAACAATACACGTTGGAAAAATTGCATCACAATCAACTAGTAAGACAGACGAACGATGTAGTCAGTAAGTAGTGTTCTGTTGTCATATGCCTTTCTCTATCTGTATTATCTTCCACATTTCATCTGTATAAGTTTTCTGTTCTTCTCCTTACCTGAGAATCACGCTTCCCACGGTTACCAGCTTTAGGCTTATTGGCCTCCTCTTCGGTACCACATTTCACTACGGCTACACAAGGTACTCCACGATAGTGTCCCGCGTACTACCATGTCACAAAAAAAGAAAAGCAATCGTTACTACTTGGCAAATCGCTACACTCGTATGGTATCCAACACCATCATCTATCGTTATAGCTGTTGTCGTTGTCGTCGTCGTCGTCGTCGTCGTCATCGCCATTAATCCAAAGAGAACTTTTTACTAACTTACCACTTTAGCCATATTCAGTTGACGTTCACCGTCAGCGATGGCAACGTAGGAAGAAGCCTTGGGCTCACGCATCGTTGGATCCAAATCCAACATATCTATAATGATATCAGGTGTTGATCGTGACTCGCCTGCACCAGTAATCATGCCGTCGGCAATGACAAAAAAACATTTGTGTTTGTTGGAATATGTTGTTTTGGCCAAGCTATCCATGGTCGTCCGTAAACCTTCGTAACCCTCTGAGTAACATGTAACAAGCATGATGGTATAGAGTTCGGTCTTTACAATATCTGTCTGTGGCCGTCTATTAGCAGCAGCTGGAGATGTAGAAGATGATGTTGCTGATCCGTTGCCGCCCATGCCATGTCCTCCTCCTCGAGCAGAAGAAGAACTGCTTGCGACACTGGTAGAAGAGCTATTGCTGCCGAGATTCTGTGCATTGTAATAGGTATATGGTCCTGGAATATGGTTCAAAGGATCCTCGTTACCACCCTTGATGGAACGCCATGCAAGCCAATTGGACCGACCACCGGGTTTCACAAGCCGGCCAGCAATGAACCACAAAAACGTAAGCGCCATTGAATAACGTATCGCGATCATACAGATAATCACAGAAAGCATAATGTTCATGATGATTTGTGCTGCAATGCATCCTCCCGTGTCACTTTCCATCACACCTGCCGTGTATCGAGCCAGCAGACAGTCGCGCATACGATGACCCTGTGGTTCGTACAATAAAATATAAGATACATCGGTGCCAATATTGTTCGTGAGAACCCGGTCAATGTAATCGCCGAATATTGCAGTGCCGTTGCTCGCGTAGGCAGTAAGGTTTAGCACTGCGTTGCCCAACACCACGACAGGGCCTGTCATCTCACGGAGATCAGGCTGAAGATCGTCCCAGTCAAAGCCGAGGCTGGATGAAGATCCCATGTATCGGTTCAGGTCAATCACAGATAAACAACCACCGTCTGGTCCAGATAGCGAGCCACCTTGATTGTAGCAATGACAGTCATATCAATCAATATTGTTAGTAGCAAACAACAACAAGTACAAGTAAAGTTGTGTGTAATGTCTTACCATAGGGACTGTCCAAGCGACAAGGACCTAGTGCAACGTTACCCGGACAAGCACCAGTTGCATCACCATTGAAAATCGGACCCAAGTCCATGTTCTCATAGTCGTTTGTCAAATTCAGCCCGTTCATGGCAAAAAAGTTTTTCATGTCGTCCAAGTCATAGACACGGCCAAACACTCGCACATCTTTACGATACACAACACGTCGGATGCCATCCACTTCGGTCGAATAGGCGGTATTGGCACGATTCTCCGGACACAGAACTAGCGTAAGACCATAAGTGATAAAGATCAAGACACCGCACAATAGCAGGATGCCCAGAACCAATGCCAGCTATAAGATGTAGTTGGACAATAATCAGCACATACTTTCTCCTCGCCCCCACCCCTTTTACATATTAAACGCTTTCTGTGTTTCATCGTCGCCTACGCTTCTTTCGTTCCTCTACTCTCTTCATGGGCTATTAATCTACCTTTTCTCGCCATGCTTGCTGCACCAGCTTTGTCCGTTTCCGACAACATGTTTTCATGCACCAGCTTGGAATACAACATGTCATCAAAAACGCTGTCCATGCCCACCAGGACGTCAATACATTTGGCTCTTCTTCCTCTTCCTCTGTTTGATTAGACTTGTTGCGTTTCCGATTGCTGTCCGGGGGAGGCACACGCGGTGCCAAGCCAGCTTCTCTCTGCTGTTGTAGCTTTTGCTGCTGCAGTTGTGCCTGTAGTCTGTTGGGCATGGGTTGCACGGGACGCGGAGATGGTGACATAAACGGTAGTGCGCGATGGGGTGGGGGCGCAGGCGGAGGAGATGTGCTTCGAATCATACCCGGCCGAGGTCGATATCGGTCTGGTCTGGACAGTGTTCTTGATCGTGACAAGCTGCCCTGACGTTGCATGTGTCTGTTTCTTAGTTGTTGCTGATGATACTGCTGATATTGTTGATAATGAGGCTGTTGTTGCTGTTGTTGTTGGTTGTTGTGCAGCCGCTGTTGCTGTGGCAAAGGTTGACCACGACCATGATAGCTGCGTTGATGCTCTCCAGACTGTCTAGACTGTATCTGCTGCTGTTGTCTTAGTCGTGCAGCAGCTCCAGGCGTAGGTGGAACGGGTTGAGACGACAACCGTTGCGTCGAGCTTGGACGATGCGAACTGCGATGCGGTGGTGGCTGTGGTGCGCGATGAGCTTTCGGCACCTGACCCGGTGGCGGCGATCGGTGGGGAGTCGAGCGTGGTGGTCCAGGAGGTGTATATTGTCTGTTGCTGTTGTGCGGTGGTGGTGGTCCACGCTGCTGTTGCTGTTGCTGTTGCTGTTCTGCCGCTGACGGATTGCGAGCACTATTGCGGAGCGCAGGCGCATAATAACGCATATCTCTAGGCGGAGGAGCGGACATGGCTGATCAATCGATGAGCGCAAACGAAACTCTAATTGGGTCCAAGCGCCGAACAGAGGTCTGAGGCTTCAAGAGTGCAAAGCAAGGAAAACTGTTTTTTACGTTTTGCCAAAGAAGAAGAAGAAAAGAGAAAGGAAGAAAAAAAAAGGACTTTGCGTGTAACGACTTTTTTTATTATTTTTACTTGTTGCGAACAGGTGAGGGTTTTGTCTAAACAAGATGTGCTAAAGAAGGAAATCGATGATACGATTTTAGATACTCGCAGATCTGCGCAGAAATAACACACCCACACACGCACAGTGAGAGAGAGGACGGGCGGATCAGATGATCTTCCTTCCCTATCTCTTCCTGTCTCATTGTTTTCTTCTACTACTACTTCTCCCTAGGCTTACCTCGCATGGGACAAATAAGCGGCGTCGTGTCTTCTACAGTGACAGTATGCAGCCGGTGCTGGAATCTATATAACACCCGGAGCTGTTTGCGTTCGCCCAGACAGGGATCGTAGATGCCAAGGATGTTTGTCTAAATTCAAAAGTCACATGCAAGTGTGGTTAGCAAATGATAACCCTCTTTGCTTCATTATGCTGCTTCATATTGCAAAGTGTCTTACCTTGGCGTGTCCACCAGGGACAGTGACCCGAGAGTCATTGACCAGCGCTTGGATCACAACGCTCACGTCAATGATCTCTTCAGGTAGTTCGCTGTCTTCATCAAGCTCGGTGTCGTCCAGGCGGCCATACCAAGCCTTAATGACGACCAAACCTTTTTTGACAAAGATTGTTATAGATATACACCGTCACATGGGGTGGGATATGTCTGGTTAGCATGTATACAAATTGTACATGTTGATAGATTACAGCTTTCGCTGTGACGGTACGAATTCCCTCTCTCGGATAGAATGTCTATGAGCAAAAAGCCTTACCATCCTGCTTCTTCTCTTCTTGTCGCATCTTACGAGCAGCAACCTCAACCATCAACTGCTGGCCTTCCAGAGCTTCCTGCTTGCGCATTGCCAAGTACTCTGCGTGCTCTTCCCGAAGCTGCTGTATTTTCCTAAAATGTACAATTGGAAACTTTGAGTGTTTGTAACCTGCTAGTGTAACAATTCTTGGAGGGAAAGAAAAAAAAAAGGGGGGGGCTTACTCCTTAATTTGCTTCCGTCGCCGTGGTTTTAACAATAACTGATCCAGTGCAACTGCAACAGACACAGGCACAACTGCACCAAAGAATGCCAGCTGGAGATCAAACTCCGTACTTAATATGATTGGCAAAACTACCTTTTGACCAAGGCGCGAAACCCTATTGTTTTTTTTTTCATCGAATAAGTTACAAGGAAAAAGCGAGGTTCAAAGGAGAAAGACCTCCCCATCAGTCAGTACAGCCAGTCCCAACCAATTTCGGTTATATTCAAAACCTGGGCAAACAGAGCAATCCTTTTTTTGTTTCCACTTTTCTCCCCTTTTGCTTGAAAACAGCTAAAATACCTGAATTTAACCAGCACACCGGAGGGTATACCACATTCGAGGGACATGCCGATTCGGGTGTGTTCGCTAACCTTGTGGTCACTACCAACACTGGCACTAAGTCCACCTGCGGTTGATATCACGCCGGACAGACGTAATTGCGCATTGTGTGGCAGTTTACGTGTATACTCGACAGCAATGTGCGAGGCAATGATGCCTGTCTGCAACTCCACGCTGTAACTACCCTGCTTCTTTCCACCTGCAATACCCAGTGCTACTGACGATCTGTCCATCTTGCGCGACACATCGCCGCCCCAGCCCAGTAATGACCATTCGCCAGTGCGATATGTAACGTAACCCGTCGTGGTGGCATAGAGACGACGGCCTGCAGTGACAGATAGGATAGGTGGGGCATAGAATGTACGCGTCTGTGCAACGCTGTTGATGAAGCTGTCGGAGGATGGATTGTAATAAGTCTTCAAGCTCAAAACGCGTGGATGGAGTAATGTCGATGATGCCTACATACATTTCATGGACCAGGAAAAAGTTTGAGATATCTACGCACCCTTCAATCAACACACCCCTTCTACTTTCATTATATGTTCTCCCTCACATAAGGATCTTTACCTCAGCCCACAATTTGGGAGATACTGTATGTCGCACTGTGCCCATAATGTTTCCGCCGCCCATACCATTCCGCGACACCATGGATCCACTAATAACAGCCCGTGTTTGCGCTCCTATTTGCGCCTACCAAAATCAAAAACATCTCTCCTTAGCAATAGAAACCAACGACAACATTTAGAAATCCTCAGCGGCAACAACAATACCTCAAAAGAATGACGCATGAAAAGTTGTTGCAACTGAGCCTTGGTCAATGCGTGCAAAGGTCCCTTTTTCTTGGGTGGGGCCATTGGCTGGCCAAACCCTGCGAACACAGGTGGCTCATATGGATCAAATACACTGCTGGCATCGACACTGATCTGAACTTCACCACGCGAACGCACCAAACTGTCCAAATCCTGCTCGCGTTGAAGTCGCGCCTTCTTTTCATATTCT